GTATGAAAAATAAATCTTATTTTTACGTCAGGAATCTCCGCACGAGAGATTGCACATTTTTTTGAAACATCCTGTACATCTTATATTTCTTAATTTTCTGCTATAGTTACGAAACAACAAGACTTCAAAAGTCTTCAGTCCCTAAAAGCTACAATGACACAAGCACGATAATACATTATCCACCCTAATTAAAAACAATTCGCTCAGTATATTCATATATATTAATAGATTAACAAACATTACAGCCTTTCTCTATTGCTTCGTCCCTATAAAATACTTCCATCCCCGAAACCAGACTGAAAAAGCCGTCGCTTACGTACATAAACGTGTTGAAAAATGACAACGTCAGTGAAAACCGCCATAAATCATAGACCGAATCACTGCAAACGACTGAAAATAACCGCCCTTTGCTCATCGAAACTTTCAATCCCTAACGAAGTGGGGAGAGGGAGAGGGAAAGGCATTTTCTTTTCTTTTCGCATCCCTCAACGTAAAAAAGAAGATGACGACAGCAACAGAATGGAATGGAGATACCACAGGGCACTTTCTCGAGGACTTTGTTACGTTGGACGGACCGCAACAGCGCTGATCGATTTCAATTGGATTAAATGAGGAGGAGATTTGTAATCGTTACAGTTAATTAAGTTGGTCTTTTTTATACGGAAAATCTTGAACGAAGACTCTGTTTCCATTAATTTAGACCGTTATTATTCTCAAATTTTTCTCATCCAATTTTTTAATATAAATTACAAATAGTTATATTTATAAAATTAAAATGAGAACATAGATAAAAACTATAAACCACAAAACAGCGCTTTTTTGAACTTTAACATCATTCAGATAGATTGAGAACGTCAGATCATGCAGGAGCTGGAATATTTTTTACTACAAATTCACATTTTTACTTATATAAAGTTCTAGAACTGTTCCAAAACATTTTTTTTTTAATAAAAGAGTCCTATGGGTATTTTGTCACTACAAGAAAATCTATAAAATAATGCTGCGTTAATCCAACGGAGACTAATTGTCAGCAGTGGTCTACTAATAAACAAATTTGCCTAGCGTGCAATAAAATGCATAATGGTGCATTTAGACTTGACCACGCACGCACTGATCCTCCGCGAATGCTCAAGTGTACACGGCTGTGCGCGCACGCTCACTCTGAATCTGTCTGTGCGTGAGCCGTCTGGTGTCGGTTTTTGGTCCGTGCTCAAAGAGCGTGTTATGTGTGCGCAAACGCTCAGTTTGCACCGGCAATTTGTTTTGTCTGCGTTCGTGCGTGCGTGTGTGATTTTTTTTCGTTTTCTTTATTAAAATTATTGTGTGGATCAATGAATCTTCGTTGTTATTAATTAAAGAATATGAAAAGTTGCCTGTATTATGGGATGTTAAACATTCTTTGTCTTATTAAAAAATCAAAAGAAAACGCATGGCAAGATCTTGTATAAAATTAATATTGAATATGTCGATATTAATAAAATTGCTATTCTAAAATTTGTATCTTTTCGTAATTTTTGGTGTTATTAAATTTTGTAAATTTCCATATACAGGGTGTTTCAAAACAAATGCGAAAAACTTCAGGGGGCGATTCCTTGTTCAAAATAAAGGGTAGTTTGCTTCATAAACGTTGGGTCAAAAGTCAACAGGGAGATATCGCGGTGCAAAGATGGCGGAAAAATAATGTTTTTATTTTTTATCTTGAAAACGAAAAGAGATAGACTAATAAAATTTTATGGAAGCATTACTGTTATGAAAACACACTTTCTGGTAATATTTTCACTTTTTTAAAATGAGTGGAAGGGGTTGAAATAAACTACTTATCATTCTTGTTAACGAAATTTAAAGAAAAATCTTATCAAACACATGCAAAAAAATTAATTTGGATAGTTTAGTTTGTTTAGAAACTTTTTTATCTCTTGTATTTTTTTGAAAAAACTCACCGATTTGAAATTAAAAAAAAATGTGAAGCATTACATGTCAGGACAAAAAACATTTTCTGATAAAGAATCTAGTGGGCTGCTGTAATTTTTTTAGGAAAAAATCTAATCGGC